AGTTGAATGATTGTATTTTCTATTTTTCCACAGTCCAAAGTGTAACTCTTAATATTCCTCAAACTGCCCCACTTAAATTCCATTTATAGAGATATGGTTGGTTAAAGTTTGAACTTTGATAAGCTCAAATCTGGGTGAAACTGCTTCGTACAAAGTTACCCTTATACCCTTCTATTATTACAGCTACATAATAGCCAAGGGTATAAAGATAACTTTGTATGAAGCGGTTTCATTCAGTTAAAACAGAATTTAACTAGGGCAGTTTGAGAAATAAAGGCTGTAAGTATATACAGTACAGTGGAATATGGAAGCTCCATGTCATCTTGACAAATGGAACATGGTTTGCAAAGTTTCAACCCAATGGGACATGGACTTCACGAGATATACAGCTTAAAACAGTGCCCTTTTAATTTCACGTAACTTGTCAATCAATGATTTCATACTCATAACAGGGCAATCTAGGTCTCAAACCCTTCCCTTTCAAGCTATACACGAAATGTAATGCCAATCAGACATACAATTCGCGAGATATAAATGTAACGCTTTAAAAAGTGTCCTTTTCAGGTTCGGTGACTTATCACGTAATGACGTCATCATCACATCAGGTCAATTTAGGTCTCAAACCCGTCCCTCTCAAGCCTCGGTGCGCCACATTGGCCCAATTTGGATTTGCTCATCGGCACACGGTTGGGCCAACATGTTGGGTTGACGTTGGGCCGATAACTTATAAAGAATGGCCGACCTTTGCCAATTGTTGGGCCAATGCTATTATTTAATGGTTGGGCTAATGAGGCTTCGGCGATTGTTGGGTTGCAGTTGTGCCAAAAGCGGATCGATTGATGGCCAGCATCTGACCAAGGTTGGGCCAATACTAAACATGCATGGTTGGGCCAATTGTGTTCAGCTGATTGTTTGATCTCAGTTGGGTCAATCACAGGCCTACATGTAGCCATCATTGGTTGATGGTTGGGCCAGGTGGGGCATTTGCAGGGTGTTCAGCGTGCATCTACTTGGAACTCGTTAAGATGATAATTACATACATGTACATGTATGTTTTGATGGGGGTCGGTTGGGAGTATTACCTATAACAATACGCTGTAACAGAAAGAAAAGATGCCGAGTTTGCTTTCTTTCTAAATTTTTTTTACCTTTACGGATTGATTGGTCCAATGATCATAATACGTTTTAAATAAATTTGCTAAATCAGAGATTGTACATCTGTGTTTCTCATGGTTGTTCAGCGAATAGTAAAATCATCATAGCATAGACTTTTAACTAAATTTCTCTGATTGCACTATAATTTTAACAGATTTGCTAACATTTTTGTAACAAAATAATGATGTTGCAATCACAGAGTGTTTGGAGGGCTATAGGTTAACTTTTGTACAGCAAGAACAGCAATGCAGTTTCAGCTTGTCTACCTGGATAACTTCTGAGAACGGGTTTATAGAAAAAGTAACAAATAAATACATTTACTGAGTTTTAACACATTTTCAAAGTATTGTCCCTGTGATTGTTCAAACCGTAACAGTTATATTTCTTTGTAACAACTAGTAAAAATATTAACTTTCAAAAGTTAACGGCAAGTGAAATGAAATACTGCCACTAATTAAATAAAACAAACTTTTGTCTCCTCAACAACTGAAAATGAATCTGAACAATCTCTCTCACCTTGCAGAGCAAATCTTTGGAACTTCACTGTAATCATTATTTGGGTAAATATAAAAAGAAGCTTAGTTCATGGTTTTGGCATTCTAAAACCAGGGTTTGTATTCAAACTAATTATTGTCTTCTGTGGACTGTGGTAATTCTGAAAAGCATCAAGTGTGAATAATTAAACAATGATAGACAAGAAACTAATGAGTGTGTATGGCTATTGAAATTCGACAAATATTTTTAATTTTCCTCTAGTAACATCTCATCAAGGGAATTCTCGCGCATTATTTGCAGAAGAGGAGCTTGGATTTCTCTACAAAGTACTAAGTGTAGAAGATCATACACTTATGTTTATTGTTTATTTTGCTTTATCACTTGCTCCAAGAGAGATTATAAAACGGTGTTACAATAAACTTTTGCTTTAGAAAGTTTCCCTCATCATGCAAAGTTTACATAAAAATAACTTCAACAACAATAGATTCACAAAGGGTGTTTTACAAATTGGTAATAGTAGGCTAATTTGGTTGCAGCTTAATGTACTTGACCTTCACTCGGCTTTGGTAATTGGAAGCAAAGCTTTCAAATGAAAATTTGAGGTTTGATTGCTGATATTCACTAAATACCAGTGTCTCAATGCCGAATGAAAACTAAATCAGGCTTTGCACCAACCCACACTAGTAATCACATAATCGATTAAAACGCAAGACTTTGACAATTTTGGGGGCTCATCGTAAACGAATCTCATTTTCAACATATGGAATCCACTGAAAAATAACACACTAACACTTTTACCAAAGACTTTTGAAATATAAAGGGTGAAAAAAGGAAGAATACCTCATTTTATGAAACACCATGGAACAACACTCATTCCCTGTCATTGCTGCTGCAGTATTCCTCGGTGGATAGTTCATCAAGGTTGGAAGGACTCTTGCTTGCTGCAGGTTCAGCTACAGCTGCGGCGGCTGCTCGTCTTGCTGCCCTGCCACCATCTCGGTCTTTTGAGTAGCAGAGCCACACTTTGATCACCTTGTCAATTTGGGCATTTGTGGCGGACTGCACAGATGGGTTTCTTCAACAGCTCCTCGAAAAAATCCAAAAGATTTTTTTCACCAATTTCAAAGTGAATAGAGATACTGGAAAGGCAGGATTTCAATAAGTTTTGCCCCATGGGATTAAAACATAAAGTTCAATCACTTACTGCGGATGACAGCAAGACTCAGCCTTTAAAATGCTTCCTTTATTCCTTTGCCGACCCAGTTATACTGTCATGCTAGGTCACTGCTGATGACGCATGTAAGGATTCTTTGCACGATGCTCTTTAGACCGTCCCCCTCCCAATGCTGGATAATTAGGCCTACAGTATGCAACCTGAGCAGACAAATAAAACAACTTTTTTGTATGGTCTACAAGAATGTAACCTGAACATTAAAGCCGACTGTAGTTTTGACAGTACAGTCGAACACAGACAAGAACACTGTAAATCCAACATCATGGGTTTAACAAGGGCAGTTTTTGGTCCCAGGTCTTTGTTGTTTTCATGCAACTCAACATGTGACTGAAGAATGTTCTTGATGCTATCTACGATTCCAAAATACCAATACTGGCCTCTAGCAATATCTTTTACAACAAGAGATATTTTGGTATTTAACAAAGCCCGTGGATCATTTGGCATGGAAGGAAAATAAACTTTTAGTATTTCCTGTAGTGTACCAAGAGCTGACATAGGAATATTTGTTTGTATTGCCCAATTTTTGATATCAGCCATCAACTTTGCTTCTGATTTCATCGTCACACTTTCGTCAAACTCACTTTCCGTACTACTAGAATACTCATGATTGTTCTCATGGAAATGGTACATTTGCATATTTTCAGGAAGCAACATTAGGCGATCAAATGTTTGGTTACAGTCTGTGCAGCAAGCAGGACCAAAGAAGACATCTGTGGCACTTGCAGGCTCATCAACCATGCCAACATTAATAAGTTTGAGTGCTCTTCATCAGACAAACTTGCAGTCAGTGCTATTTCCTCCTCTTTGTCCAATAAGACAATAAGTACATTTTATCCCCAAACTGTCGGCCTACTCAACAGACCACCGTTTAATACAAGGTCAAAATTATCAGCTAAGTACTGTTACCGCCACATATCCAGCAAGCTAAACGTTATGGAACATGCGCTATAGGCCTACGTACATGTACATGTAAGGCCTACGTGTCAGTATAACGTTATGATTAGGCTGAAAAATAATTTTAAAAATCCGCCAAGCCTTAGGCCTGCATATCACATTAGAAACATGGTTTGCATGGCTTTAAGAAATTGCCAGGAAAACTTCTACACACCTCATCTCAGCAAACTAGCATGTACTCCAACAGCATCTTGGTCTTTGTTGAGCTACATGCATGTAAGTTCAGTTGGTCGGTTGAAGATGGACTCGATGCTTGAATCATGGATGCTTTATGTGCACGAGACGGTCGGCAGAGTTACCGCGACTCTCTGCGCCAGCGCTGCATGCAGCTAAATCACATTGCGTTAACGATCACCATGACATGTGCGTGCTACATTGCACATGTACATGTACATGCATATATTATATGTACTGCGTATATACGTACGAGTGCGTACAAGTTATTTGGCCGCTTGCTACATGAAGCTAACTGCTGAGACGCGCGAAATTTTTGTGGTTTTTTATTTCATCATTTTAAAGCACGGACAATTTTGAAATGTTTTCAATTTATTGTTTAAGTTTTCAATTCATAATTATGATGTGCTACGGGCACATTATTTTAATGCAACCCGGAGAAGGCATTTAAAGTTCAATTTTTAAAGAGTTTGACATTCCTAAATTTATCGTATGATACGTCATTTTTTTAGTGCAACATGTGATATGGAAATCGCCGTTATTTTCAGCAACATTGGGCCAACAACGGGCCCGGCAACGGTAAACTGTTTTTTCAAAGTTTAGGAAAACTTTCTGTTCAATTTGGGCCAACAATGGGCCAACATCTCTTTAGCCAACTTGGCCAATGAATCAACCATTCAAGTTAGCCAATGTTGGCCCAACGAACTATCTGGGATATCGCCAGATATATACATGTATATATTTCACTCGCTTTAAAGTGTGCCCTTAAGGTCACGTGACTTGTCACGTGATGACGTCATCATTACATCAGGTCAATTTAGGAATGAAACCTTGCCCTTCCAGCTACACAAAAATTTTAAACGCAATCGGATATGTACTTCACGAGTTGTAGCACTCTAAGCTCGTGCCCCTTTAAAGTCACATGACTTGTCGCCCAAGACGTTATCACCACATAAGGCAAATATTCCTCTAGAACCCCAGGACTTAATACGTCCCCACGCAGATCAGGTGTAACGCCCCCTGTTTTAATCAACGAAATAGTAGAATCCAGGCAAAATTCATGATTTGAAGAATACTATAGCCCACCGAATTTAACGGAATATTTCAATACCCAAAATTGCGTAATAAATCAGTTGATGACCTCATTATGACGTAAATATTTACGTATTATCTTCACTTTAGGGTGATTGTTTGGTGTAACTTTGATAACGATCAAATATTGCTAAGTTACCAAAATAGTGCCTCGAAAACGTGTACAAAGTCGATGGGCTGAAATAAATATTAAAAAATCAATAATAAATCATCATGACGTCATGTTTCTAGGACCACCTGTTCATAAGGGTTCTTCATTGGTACAAGTTTGATGAAGATCCAAAGTTGCAAAAGCACTAAAGTGGTGGAAGAAGAAGAAGAAGTAGAAGAAGAAGAAGAAGAAGAAGAAGAAGAAGAAGAAGCAAAAAAAACCCAGAAGAAGAAGCAAAAAAAAAAAAACAGAACAAAAAAAATGACTTTTTCGGAAAATTGTGAAAAAACCCCAAAAGAACGGCTTTTTCGCAAAATTGCCAAAAAAGAAAAATCTTTGAGGAAAGCAATAGCTGCTTCGACAGTGAATTCGAAGCAGCTAAAAAAAGGGTCGGGAATAGTACCTTTTTCGGCGTACCCGATCTTGACGCACTTGCCGTCGCTTCCCCTGTACTGCCAGCCGTGGAAGGGGCATTCAATGCACTCGCCCTGCACCGAGCCACCCACAGCTAGGTTAGCCCCGAGATGGGCGCAGTAGGCGTCCACGATGTAGGCCTTTCCACTCTCGCCCCGGAACGCGACCAGGTTCTTGCCTGGAGAGTAAAAAGAACGACTGTTTTGCATCATAGTAATTATGATCGACATCACACAACCAGTCTTTGAAATTCGTTCACTGACTAGCTGACAAAGATGAAAAGGGCGTGTGTTTAAGATTAAAAACGAAGGGACTTATGCTGTAATTGTTCTTATATAGGAATTCGGAAACCATTTCTGGATGACTATTGTATTTCATCAGATTTTTGATAAAAAAGAAGAGGCTTACCCGCCACATGGACGAATTTGTGTGCCGCCTTCTTCAATTCGTCCGACCTTAAGATCGACATCCAGCCATTCGGGTAAACGGGAGGCAATTGGCCGAATCTCCGGGCTCTCTTGAAATCCCCAACGCGTTCCTGGGCCGTCTTACCGTCGGAGGGGCCGTCCACGAAATATGCTATCTTGGACTCGTTGCAATAGATGGCAAGCGGCTCAGTGAAAGCCTTGTACAGCTTGACCACCAGGAAGGTGACCATCGCGACGGCAGCGTACACACAGAAGAATCGGAAGCCTGAGCTGTGGACGACCTGTTCGACTTTCTCGGAGACCACCTCGGCGGTGATGTTGGCGCTCTGGACCCGGTCGGCTAGCCTCAGGGCGTACTCGTCAAAGGCCGGGGGACGGGCTATCATCCCGGCGAAGAAAACCGGCAGGATAACGGACAAAAGGGTGGATTTGGAGGGCGGCATTTTGTTGAAGTGTAAGCAACATCCACTGGACCAACGACACCCGTGACGCCTGCGCTGCTTATACCTCGAATCTTTGCTCAAAATTGTGTGTACAGACGCGTAGAGCAAGAGACGTGGGCCTATGTATAAAAATAAACGGTATCGTTTGTTTTTAGCTTAGATAACTATACCCTCTGAAGGACTCTGTTTGGTTTATTGGTCAAGGTCTGTGACACATGTATATTCTTATCTTCTCAAATCTTGCGCTTTTTCTTGCTTTAAACATTTCCGAACAGAGAATTACATTCACCACTTTGTCCCGTAGTGTTACGAGCTTAGATGAAATCGGACCGCAGAGCTAGTATATTTCTGTCCAAGGCATAAATCTAAAACATATTGACCTGATAATACAACGAAGTAAACGCATATTCAAGACAGATAGCCGACCAGCTTTATGCAGTCGTTAACTTCAGTGCACCGCTGTACGTGCAGAAATGCATACGCATGCATTGTGAAACTTATAAAAAAAGTTCGACAATACTTCCCGGATCGTTACCAGATAGGGTTTTCGTGTTCTGCACACGGCCTACGTGCCAAGGGGAACGTATTTTGGTGCATAAGATTTAGCAAATTGCAGCAAGTTGAGCGGCGGGTCAAAAGACTTTTTCAAAGTTTTCTCTAAAACGTTAGATAAAAGTTGTCTGCGCTGCACGACTCTTTCCGGCGAAAAAGAGCACATTGGTCGATCATCCGCCGTCTGATTTTGCTTGGTGGAATCCCAGCTTAGTGTGAAGTTTGGACTGTACAAAAAATGGATTTATTCGCGCCAAGGCGCTCAGTATGATCGACTTTGACTAACCATGAACACGGCTGTGTGTCTGAAACCTTGGCTAAGATCGGTTGTAGGCTAAGCTCAGGAGACATGGTTACCATGGAGCCGCTAAAGCTAGCAACTTCTATACGCTCAGGTATAACTTTCCGCACCGCGGTTGATTAGTTCTTTCGAGAAGCAATTTACAAGTTACATGTATTTGTCATGCCTGTCTTTTAATGATGCGCTACAAAAGATGGTTGCATAAGAAAAGACAAATAATTAAGAGAAAACACCCCCAGCAACCACCCCACCTAAACATGGGATATTACAGTTCGCTTTATAAGGCATGTTGACCAGGGGCGTAGCCACGGGGGGGGGGGGGGCTTGGGGACAAGTGCCCCCCCTCCCAGTGCCCCCACTAACATAAACTGGATCAATGGATGCTGCACAAGGATAACAAAAGCTTACCCCCAAAAACCACACCACTGAAAGCTGGTGCCCTCACATAATACGTGTGTGCCGTCTACTAGTACAATCCTAGCTACACCGCTGAAGTTGACGTCTATAGTACACCTGTCCTGTAAATGAAACGACCCAACATGACGCAGATACAGCGCATTAATCAGTCCGTACAAAAACCTACTAGTGCCATCAAGTATACAATATATGTTTTGTTTTCAAATTTCGTTATACATTGAAATGAAAAGCGAACGTCAAAAATATATCAATATAAACTTGGGAGAGATTGTATCTCGTAAGAGCAAAGTTGGAAAAAAATGTCCCGTGGAAAGACTTGTTTCCAAATTCGAAGCACTGTTTCTAAAAACATATCTCACAAAGCGGATTTGAAAATGTACATCTCGTAATAACGCACTTTGGAAAGAAGAACACGAATTTAGACAAAGTATATGTATATCTTACAAAAGCGAACTTCGGAAAAATTGTCCACCTTGAGCAGAAGTACCCCTAATCGGTAGAAAAGAGCCATGCTTGGTCAGTAGTGTTCATTTTGCTGGTAGCCTCGGTTGCTAGGAAACATGCGCCCTCCCTTGGTGCAGCTCGGAGATCACAGGCCTACACCACTTTCCAAAAACCTTGTGGCACTACTGGGCTTTAGCAAGTTTTAACGCAGCCTACAGTATCATAGAAATCCCGAATAGTTACTTGGAACAGACTCTGCCCCAGCAGTAAGATGGCACTGTCGAAAGCTGGAGTATTCACCCTAGTCTTTCCGGTTTTCTTGGCGGGTCTGGTCATCCGTCCACCTATCCTCGAAGACTATGCTAAGAAGCTGATAGACCAGGTTCAGCGCGTCAATTTGACCATCTCTGCTGAGGTCGTTCCCAACACGCTCGCCGCGGTGGTCGACAGTCCCATGTTCCGGTTTGCCGTGGTGTACGGGCTGGTCGCCGTTACCACCTACCTCGCCCTTGGGGTCTACAAGGCGTTGAGGGAGCCCCTCGCCATCTATTGCGACGAGCCCAAGGTGGCCTACTTTGTGGAAGGGGTGGCTGAGGGGAAGACCAAGGAGGAGCAGGTGAGGGAATTTAAGAGATGGCGGAGGGTTGGGGACGTTCCACCCGTCTACCCCAACGGCTGGATGTCGGTTCTGATGTCGTCTGAACTGAAGAGGAAAGAACACAAATTCGTGCACGTGGCGGGTAAGACGGAACATCCTTAAAAATAGAAAACAATGATAAATTTTCAGTCTTTTCAGTCATTTCTCCACAGTAAGTACATCATTAATGAAGATCATTCACAGTGGCGTATACAGCGGGGGAGGGGGGAGGGGAGTAGCCCCGTGGAGACATGTTGGCAATGTTTTGGAAGTTGAAAGCGCCAACATTTCAGAAACGACATACTGCCATCTTGAAGGAACAAGTTGAAAGCCATTTTTGGAAAATAAAACCTATATTGCTGACCTCTTTTCTGGTTATGCCCTTATAATCCTCAAAAGGTAGGAGGTTTGAATCTATTCTGAAAGCTGTAGGCAGTCACCCGGTTGTCTTCATGGTATTCCCTTTTTCATCTGTTTACAGGCAAGAACCTGGCCGTGTTCCGGGGCGAGAGTGGGAACGCGTACATCGTGGACGCCTACTGCGCCCACCTCGGAGCTAACCTAGCCGTGGGAGGCTCGGTGCAGGGCGAGTGCATTGAATGCCCCTTCCACGGCTGGCGGTACAGGGGAAGCGACGGCAAGTGCGTCAAGATCGGGTACGCCGAAAAAGGTAACGACTTTATTCTCCATCTTATGAGTATTCATTGAGACGCCAAATCCATAACCGAAAGTTTCTTTTAATTGGGAAAACAGGCATGTTAAATATCACAGTGTGATTAATTTGTCTTTGTGCGTCTGAAACGTTTGTCTAATTTTGTAAATAACTTTGCGTATTATAGGTAGGTCTTGACTTCCCCTCTGCAAGCAAGCCCAGTTACAAAACGTTTTATTGGAAAAAAACCTCTTGAAAATTGGTTGTGTAAATTTATTGTTTTGAGGGAACGTGGTGTAGAAAAGAGGCTCCCTTGAATTTTCAATTCATCAAAGTTGCTGTTTGCCCTTTGTCAGGATAATATGAAAATCTAAAATGAATCTCATTATAGGCCTATGTAAGGCCATAGTCTAAGTGATAACAGTAAACTGACGGCACAAAGTTCAAAATTGAACATTTTAGTGAGTTGAACCTCAAACAATGAAAAGGTCGAATCATTATGTGCCAAAGATTCTTTTATACTCACAGGCTTTGATAAGAAAAGGATTTGGTGGACAATTGTACAAATTTACCCATAGAAAGTATTGAAAGCCAACTGAAAAGTAGAAAACCCTTAAAGAGTGCATGTACATGTGGGAATTTCAAGTAGAGGAGAACTCTCTGGGATGAACCACATATTTCATTACAGAATTCTGTTTCCACGACATCTAAAAGCGTGTTTCCTTTGGTTAACCGCCGAACAGCAAAATTTCAGCATCCAGACACCGAAGGGGACGTAACTTATCTTACCGACTCCGCAAATAACTTGTTTCTGTCCAGTGCCTGACTTTGCCAAGATCCCAACCTACCACTCCTGCGAGGTCAACCAGAGGATCTTCTTCTGGAACCACGCCGAAGGCAAGGAACCAGATTGGCAGATCCCGGAATTGAAAGAGGTCACCAATGGGGAAATGTACCCAGTGGGGTTCACCGTCGCAGAATACGATGGCCACAACGAAGTACAGTCATCCACTTTCCACACATTTCCACTGTTATAAATTCTCTTTCCCCTCTATGGGTGCACCACTAAAAATAAATTCCCATAGACAGCAGTGATAAATCCCCATACTTCACAAATATTTTAAAATACAACTCTCACAGGTGTTCAGGCTGCACAGGAAAATGATGTTCCTCATGTCCTCTTTCATTTTTCTTCAATTTCTGCGGGGGTTGACCAATGAATTTTTGAGAAATTTTCACCACAAGCAGACCACCCCTAAAATGCAGAAAATGTCCCTGTCCAGAAAAGTAGCCATTTTGAAAAACCCTCCCTCGGGAAAATGGCTCAAATAGTGCCACTTTCAAACCCAATTGCTCAGAATTGGAAGCCATGAGTCCGGCTTAGTCTCATATTTCTTGAATTCCTCAGTTCCATGACTCTCAGGACCCTCTAATATAGAATATTTTGAGTCTATAACTTTTATTAATTAGCTAGGCGGACATATTTCTGGCTTAAATACGAGGGTGCACCCCTATCTGGTTCGTACGTGTGACGTCACTTCAGTTTAAACCACGCCCACTGCACATTGAGTGACATGCAACCTTGTTTCCCAGGGTAAGATCTTGCCGCGAAATGTTAGTTCCCAACATGCCTTGCGCGATGGAACGCGCACGCAGCCCGAGGATAGAGTCAAAGTTGAGCAACATGGAACCATGGAACTCGAAGTTAACGCACTACTGGAGTGGGAGTTTTAAATCGGTAGTGCGTGTGCATATATGACATGACGTCACTAAAAAGCCGCTCATCTGGCAAACACAACCACCGTGGTTTGGCTTCATAAGTGTGGATGCATATATATCTCCATGTTGGAAGATGTCAATTATTTGTTGCCGCGGCAAATAATGACTCCACTGGCAGCGTGCGCTTTCCTTCACTAGGGGCATGGTGGGAATTAACCAACATGGCGCGGCAAGACTCCACCCATGCCACTGCAGTACGACCATTGATCTCCATTGTAGTCTTTATAATGGAGACCATTGCAACCTCGTTCCCATGGGAACGATCGGGCAGCACCTTGGTGGTTCCCATCATGCCTTGCGCGATCTAAGGAAAGCACACGCAGCCCACGGAGTCAAGGTTGCAACACAGTTCATGTATGTGTTTAATTCTATCAAAAAATAATTGGTTAAATATGAATAAGGCCAAACCTTTATAAAAAAACCCTGCATTTGAGATCAGTCTTGGGGAATAAATTCCGACTTACTCAGAGGTTAAAATATAAGTTAATTTGAGATAACTTTCTGTTCGTTCTACAATCAAATAAGATTCGTCAAAAGTTGGATGCTAGCCAATTTTGCATTACCATGCAAAATGGTACCCCAACGGTAATTCATGATACGCGTTATCCAACAACCAGAGCCCCATTGGCTGAAGAGCTATTCAACACGCGCGCACCACCTGTTGTGACTCTCCAAAAAACGGTGTCCGAACATATAGCTCTGTTTTTTCAGGTCCTAGTTCAGCAGACGTCAAGTTTCAGTAAATTTAAACTGAGTACGAGTCTGGATGAATATGATTCTCATGTCATTATTTCTAACAGGACGTTCCTGAGAACGGGGCTGACGTTGCGCACCTGAACTACCTCCACGGACCGTAAGTCCTTCAAGGCCTTCGCCTGCATCAAATACATACTGGTGTATGCCGATAGCGCACGTAACCACAGCCCTAGGGGCCTTTTACAGATACGGCTAAGCCTGCTTTATCTAGATTCAAGACTTTAATGGAACTTAATTTCTGATCCTTAGCACTGAAGGTTATAGCACTAGGCAAGGAAATTAACTGGTTGTGAATAAGTATACAGTTGGCTTTGGGAATACTTCGTGTTCATGGCATTGTACTTGACAGTACACCACAAAACGACTTCAGCGACTTCTTGAATGAGGCTCTGACTTTCCCGTCCGCAGGAGAGGCTTCACGGGCAGGGACACGTTTACCGACGCCACTTGGGAGGCCCACGAGACTGAGAAACACATAGCTTCAGTGTACATCACCAGCCACCAGGCGAAGCTCTTTGGCTTCATCCCCGTGCCGACCGACCGTTTGCGCGTCGATCAGGTAGTCTGACTGTTCAACGGTCGATTGAAAACTAAAGGCTTGACAAGATAGGTCTTACATTCAGAATCGAATTGCATGGGGGGATTTAGCCCAAAATTAACATGTGCGGTTGTTATTCACTATGTCGACAGCCTTGAGCATAATCAGGCTGTATTCTGCGACCATAACTTTGAAACTTCGAGTTGCTCGATATGTATGGCGATCAACATTTTATACACCTTAAACATGATAACAGTTTTTGCCAGGTGAGCTTCGTTTGAGAAAACCAGTCAGGTATGCTGCAATGGAAGCCAAACGATGACGCATGAGAGACCAGAAACTGCGGTCCGTCATGCAACAGATGCATTAATTAAGCCCCTTCCACTGCGCACAGGCACATGACCACGACGCATGCGTCACAATGTAAAATGCACCCGCGTCAGGACTTGTAACCGTGCTTGGAATTGGTTGAAACCCTAGATAACGGCTGAAATCACGATGACGACTTTTCTTGTGTCGGTCAGATTGGACCGTGCTTCGCCCACTTTCAATTAAACCACGGTATGGTTGGACGGATGGTCTTTGTCCTTTCGGTCACGCCCATCGGTCCTATGAGACAGAGAATTGTGACCACGGCTTTCTATCAAGGCAGCCGCCTCGCCTTCTACATCGGCAAGCGGGTCCTTTATGAACAGTATTACCAGGTAGGCCTAACACCTGCCACCGATGGTTTATGCCTATTACCACGAAGCAGGACTTGGGGTGTTTTTTTTAATTAATAAAAAAAGTGGTTTTCACATGGTCTAAATATTGTGCTCCAACTAAAACGAGGATCATTTGCCTGTTGTTCTTAATTTTCCCTCTTTTGATGTGTAGCATTGAGAGATGTTGATAAATCAAAACACAAATATACTTTTGATACAGGGAAATAATGGATATCATTTTAAGTTTATTCTTTGACTAAATGGTTTAAACAGCATTAACTATGAATGGCTAAAAGCATGTCGTATGTGTAAACGGTCATATTCAAAGGAAATGAAGATAATTGAACGGCAAACTTTGGAACCTATTATATTGCGTCAAGATATTTAAAATTAGGTTTTAGAGCAAAATCTTCTCCCCCCGCATGTAGATCGAGGGAGACATACCCGTGTGGGCCAATAAGGTGTATCTCCGCAACGCCATGTTGGTGAAGGAGGATCATCTAATCGCGAAGCACCGGCGCTTTTACGCCCAGTTCTACTCCGAGAACAGTCCCAAGTACACCCAAGAGGCGAGGTCCGTGGACTGGTAAAAACCCGTGGGAAGTCTCAAGGCCACGCAGAGGGGGTAAAACTTACTACCCCGCTCATCACAGCTTTACTAACTTCTCAACGTTCTAGACCTCTTGCCAGGTCGACCAACCTTCCCTTTATGATGCTTTACGCCATTTATGAGCAACAACTTGACATTTACAGTTAAATAAACTTTAATTTAAAAAAATGAAATAAAATAAGGATAAAATGCGTCAAATCGCCATCGATCTTGTCAAATCGCCATCGATCAGGATCATTTTCAATAGGTTCGGAACGAATGAGTTATAAACTAGACACTCCTTTGCAAAATAATTTACGTGTTACTTTGAGTGCCTATTTCAGCATTATTAAATTTATGTCAAGCCTATTAATTAACAAATCATGCTGCATATATTATCATTCATTTTCACCCGCTATGCTATTTCTTCAAGAAGATGAGATAGAATTAGAGTCAGCATCACTGTAGCTTCACTGTCTATGTTTACACTGATTCAAGAAACATTTTATATCTTTCATTTTTAGGACACTCTTTAGCCTTTTGTTTGTGCCCCTCTTTTGGGATTACATCCACAGCTATAATTGAATGCAAATGTGAGAAACTAATACGGGCATTGCACTATATTGAGCCTCCAAGAGTTTGCAACGCGTTGGCCAATCGCAATGTGCGAAATCTGTTAACCCCTTGCGCGTTGAAAAAGGTCGACAGATTTCGCGCACTGTGATTGGTCAACGGGTTGCCAACTATTGTAGGCGTACTATTGTGAATCACCCGTATTATTTCGCAAATCATCTTGTACAGCTTCCACCATTACACCAATAAAATAGTCCCGTTGAACACTTGTAATTATAATAATGTGTTTTCAGGGTGCATGATTCTTAAAAAAAGGGAACGATGAAGGCTTTATCTTTTACACGAATCAGTTGAGCGACACAATGACGCACACTCGCAATTTCTATAGAGCTACCGGCCCTAAGTATAGTGCACATGCATCATGAAATGTTGTCTTAATTGGTCCAAAGGTTTTTAGTCGACTTTGGTTTTTGTTATCCTACTTTACAACTTCTCGTAAATCAATATTGGGCGGCACGACTAAAACATGTTTTCTACGGGAACAGGGAGGGGGTTGAACAAATTCATCGGTTCCTTCTTTTCGGATTTGCCAAATTTGCCATAGATCTGGTAAGTTGAAGTAGCGGAGAAATTCTTGGTGGGTTTGAGAATTTTAATGCACTCCACTTTTATTCTTCAAGGGACACATGTCCCCTGCAAAATAAAATTGGTTCCAAAGAGTGCTCTTGGTGTTTAGAAAACAACCGAAAAGCCAAAGTTCACGGCGGTTACGGCAACCGAAATTGACCTTTGTCGGGTCAACAAAATTCCTAATCAGTTTGGCACCGCTAACCTTTCCTTTATAGGCCCATGCACGGGATTGAGTGAGCTATTTATATTTCTTAACAATCACAAGCATTTCAAAAATCTTAATTGTATCTTGGCAAAGATCTCGACGCGTCTGGGATGGGAGTAAGGTACATCCTTGACCATGTACTGTGGCACAGTGAACGCTAAATAAAAGCAGTTCGGCAATGCAATCTTCACGTACCATCTTGACCAGGCTTCGGCCTCAAGGGGACTGAGTGTCCCGTTCAAAACCTGTCACGAGTTCATAACGCTTACCAGCCGTTACTGCGGTCAACTCTTGTCACAAAAAAGATCTTGCACCGTGTACCACAAATGATAAGCTGTTTTAACACACCGAGTTTGGTCAAAGGCTTGATTTTTTGTTTGATTTTTAACTCCTACAGAAAAAACAACTCGCGTCCTGCTCGGGGCCAAAAGAGCATTTGACTGAACTGTGAAGTCAAATGCTCTTTTGGCCCCGAGCAGGACACGAGTTTTTTTTCTGTAGGTGAGTGGGACCAAGAGAGAGAGAGAGGGTGTGATTTTCACAGCAACGAAGGCTACTTTGACCGGAACTGCACTTCGCTAGTTCACGAACGACTACGACGGAATGCATGTATGATCAGAATATCGACAAGAATATAATATCAAATCAGTACTCTGAAATACGTGATTGCCGAGCTTTCGGTAGCTGAGCCCCTTCTTCAGGGCAAGCAGATTCAGATTCATGCGGAATGCATGTGTTGCGTCCGCGTCGCTACCAACAACTTGAAACGCACACTCCCCTCCAGCATGGTTCTTTAGAATCGATGAGGGGTGCTTTTCAAGGCGGATAATTACTTCGATATTGCCACTGAAACACTTGTACAGCAAATACTAATAATTTATTCTATTTAATGCGAGCACTGCAGGTCAACATTCATAGATTGTGTTTTAGAGACGTGCCCAGAAACGGAGACGGATAGCCGACTGTCGGAAACCGCATAAAAAGCCGCAATGGTGGCGCCCTAACAATATCACATACAGAGCTGTATAGAGAGAAAAGTGTCAACTTCAGACTTTGGATCCAAAATGGCTGTTCATTATTTGCATTGTACAGTAAACAGTTACTGTGTCCACACCCACTGACGCATAATCTACCCATTTTATTTCCGACAACTGAGACACTCACGTCGCAACTCTCTCCATAAACAGTTCCGATCGCAAACTCTCCACAAAGTCCTTGACATTTAAAAAAAAATGTTTGTAGGCTAATGCCAGCAGAATTTATTCGAAACAAAACGCCATAATTTTCTTTCTTTGACATTTTCTTATAGAATATGATATAATGAGCCCTGAAAATATCTTACTTTTCCCTTTTTTCAGACAAATTTTACACACATGCATATCTAAGGACTTGCACTGTCCAAACGTCAGCAACACTTACACACACGTGGCTAAGATACACATGATATAAGGATTAAACTACTGAAATAATAATTCCTCAGTTACATTGAGGAATGTACTTTAAAACCAACCGTTTTGTCGGTAAAACATACATTCTAACGACGGTCACTTGGCGTGTTATATCAACGACTAATGCGGGGTTCGACGTTTGAGCTAGACGTAATTAATTCAAGTTCTCTTTTTAAAATTTTACTTGGGTGTTATAAGCCCCGAGCTGGACCAAGAGAGGGTGCAATTGTCTTAGCAACGGGGGCTACTGGTTCACAACGGGGGCTTCGCTGGTTCACAAACGACTGGGAAATGCACGCCATATACGTTCGCGTTGCTACCAACAAAATGAACCTCTCGACCAATTTGGCTATTTTCATCTGACGAGGGGGTGATTCTGCTCAAAGCAGCCAAACTGACATGACCAAAATACATGAATTATACTGAATAAAGACACCGATAAACAACACATAAACACGGGTGCTTCCAACCTGATAAATCTCAACAACGCTTTCGGTTTTCCAGTAACTTTGAATGCGGAAATGCGAAGGCACTCGAATGTTCTTTGCCTTTCTTTCACAGCATTACCAAAACATTTATTCCTCTGTAATCAATATATCCTTTAAGAAAATAAATCCGTAGGCCTACTGAAACTATACATGATGATGCTCTGCGAACAGTTCGCAACGAGTTACAACGTTGTTTGGACGGCATACGGGCTGACGAGGTGAGTGGTCGACTTCTTTGCTTTCTTCTTGGCCGTATTTGTCTGGGGCCGGACGCAGAGCGTCTTCCGGAAGGTGCGCTTGAAGTTCTCGTTGAGGAAGGCGTACACGATGGGGTTGTTGAAACTGTTGCTGAAGCCGATGAGCTGGACGATGGCCAGCATGAGCCGGTTGCGCTCGCTGTCCCGCATGTGGGAGAAGTCCCGGATGATGCTGACAACGTGGAAGGGCAGCCAGCAGACGGCGAAGAGGATGACCACCACGATCAGCATCTTGGTGGCGCGCCTCTTGTTGCGCAGGGACGAAGCGTTGGCCTGGCTCCCCTGTGCCTCCAGAGGCGAGATGGCCTTGCGAATCCACAGCCGATGTACCACCCGGAGATACAGGACAGTCATGGTCAGGACGGGGATGACGTACACGAACAAGACCAGGAGCAGGGTGAAGGCCTTCTTCTGCTCGGGGTGGGGCCACGCTTCCCTGCAAAACTTGTAAGTGGTGGCAATGAGGGGGTCTTCCTTCAGAATCACCTTATGGACGAACAGCAACGGGGAGACGAGCAGCATGGAGGACACCCAGAGCCCAGCGATTAAGATGGCTGCTCGCCTGGGCGTCTGAATGATGCGGGCTCGTAGGGGGTAGCAAATCGCGTGGTGGCGCTCGACTGCAATGGTGGTCAGGGTCAATACGCTGGACACAACTGCCACCATGGTGATGTAGTTGAGGAGCTTACACATGTAGGTGCCCAGCACCCAGTCCACTGTGATGATTTCCAAGAGCGTGAACGGAATACAGAAGAGTGTGATCAGCAGGTCAGAGGTCGCCAGGGACACGATGAACGCGTTGATGACGGTGCGCATGCTGCGCTTGTGCACCACCGCAAAGACCACAAGGATGTTGCCTACCAGCGCCAACAGGAAAATCACGGTGTAGGACGTGATGAGACCAGCGTCGGCTTCGGCGGACAAATCGTAGGCGATGGGTTCTAGCTCCACCCCGTAAAAGTCGATGAACTCGCCCAGGGAAGTGAAATTCAGACTGGCCAATAGTTCGTCCAGGGTTTTGTTTTCCAACACCAGGGACGTGTAAGCTAAATGGTCGTCGAACGAATCGTCTGACTCCATGACGTCGGAGCCTACGTTAAAGAAAAGGGGAAACGGACAACTTTAAATCAGGACATTTGGCGTATCATTAGTTGTTCCAGTAACCTCGATTTTTCTTAAGGCATTGAGCAATGATACAAATCGAAATTGATCCCCAAAGTAGCATCCCTCACGGCAAATAATACATTTAAATTACAGTACATTCGTTTTTCAGTTTAGATTCCAGTGCCTTTATCCGACCACTGTAGACTTAATTATGCACAAGGACTGAGGGACACAAAACAGGGGCCTGGCGTCAGTGGTGGTGTAATATGGTTGCAAATGCATTCACGTTTGCACCCAAAAAATTATCAAAAAGGCCTATTACAGCTCTGCATCAACACCCGAAAAATGAAGGATAATTACACTGGCCATAAAAGAAACTTGCCACTTCTGTCAAAGGCCACACGTACAAATTCATTCCATAGAAATAAACAATTTTTGTACACAGGTATGCTGCAATACCATTACTAATCACATGCCCAAAAGCAAGTGATTATCTTTATAACAAAGAAGAAATTGAGACGCACAGCATCTTGGTTACTGAATCAAAAGGCACACATAAAAGCACTCTTCACCAAGCAAAAATGACCCATGAAAGGACAACATTTTAAACAGCCAATGACAAAGTGAACACCTGTTTTGTCAAAAGGATGTGCATGATGGTTTCTGTATAAGGATGCCATATTTACTGGCTATGCATACACATTATTGAAAAGTAATGATTGCGACTTCTTTATTTCGTCCTGTGACATTGATTTCTGCGTAAAATTAAGGGTCAATTTGTTACATTCTGTGACTTTTGATTCAGTAACCAAGAGAGAGAGAGAGAGAGAGAGAGAATAAGAGAGATGGACTCCTCGGCTCGGTTCACGCTGACGTACCGGTGAGTCAAGAGGCAATGTTTGCCGAGTCAAATGGAGTGTGGCTGCTGGATTGTTAGGATGGGCACTCCGGAGGCGAGAAAAAAGTGGTAACTCGTTGAAGATAGACCTGTGCATGAAGAGTGTATGAAGAAGGAAAGTGAAAAGGGGCATTTTATGGGAGGTTGCAGGCAAGGAGGTCAGTGTGTTTCATGAACAGCAAGCAAGCAGTGAACATCGATGAAAGGATGCATTAGGCTCGTGGCAACGATGTTGAATACGATGTTTTCTAAAACCAGTGGCGTATCTAGCAGGCAGCAGAGTACGGTTGCTTTTTATAAGGATTTGACAGCGCCAACACTTTAGACACGTACAGACGTCGCTAGGAGTTAAAAGTGTAACATTCCCCATAAGTCAGTTTTGTCGGCAAAATAATAGTGATATCAGCAAGAATGGAGAAGGAACGAGGAAGGAAGGGAGGAGGATCACGAAAGTGTTAGGTCGGGTAATCAGACTACCATTACACTCATGCATTGTTCACACTGTCTGTCGGCAAATTCGATGACGACGGGATTATCATCTTTCTTGAGAGTGTTGGAGAATTCTGTGCCGTATAAAATTACATGCATTCGTTTAGGAAAAAGCTCCACCCCAAACATCCTGGTTGATTTGATTGTTAGTAAAATAAGAAATGAAGTTTTTGGCATGATGTCAGTGGATTACCATTCTTTGTTGAAAGGTCGAATGGTCTTTACGAAAGATGTGTTGTTACACGCTTGTTCCAGAGGTAAGTACCACGCCTGCGCCCGTTAAATCCAACGGTGCGGTTTTTCCACATACTCCATCATTCCACATTGCGTCCTTCGTTCTTGCCTATCAATTTTGCCTCACTTTTTATGATGCATTTGATATAGTATACTTTTTTACTATTTTCTTTTCAATGTGCTTGTTTTTATTTTTTGGCCGAATTAAATTCACTGCGGAAAATAGAATAGATCAAATCAAAGCCCTCATAATTCAAATTAAAAATATTTTCGAGCAGGAACTTTTCAACGAGTACATTTTTTTCTGTCTGGTTTAATAGTGTAGCTGCTCTTTGCCAAGCCCCGGGGCCATAAGTGACGCAAAATGAAAAGGAATGAACAATTTGACTGTTGTTCACGGCAAATGAATTCAGTCACGTCACCATTCCGTGACGCATGAGCGCAAACATCTGTGAAAACAGATGTAAGTACACTTCTTACCTCTCGACCCTTGCGCACTATCCATCTGTTTGCGCGATTTTAAATCGAAATCCTCCTCAGAGAGTGCACGTCGCTACTTTTGCCTGACTCTGTCGCTCTGAAGCCCGACGTAAACTCAATCAAAGCTGCCTAGCCCAAAAGCGAGATCCAACGGATAACAGAATCTCTAAAAAGGACAAGGCTTACATGCAATCTGAGTCGCTTGAATTTACTGACTTGATCCATTCGCTTGCCGAAGACCGTTGTGGAGGTAGCTGGGCAGGATTTCAATGTTTTGCAATGTATTATGAACGGGTACGATGAAAACAACTCGCTACGTCAAGCCCTCGCGGCAAATGCTAGTTTAATATTCCCCCCTTAATCCAGCGACCTACTTCTGGAGAAGACGGGCGGCTCAAAAAGAGCTCGAAGGAAGAATAATTAATCCTTTGAGGATGAGTGTATTGCGTTTCATAAGGCAATCAGATAATATCAGCGAATAATAATGTCGAATAGTGTCACCGACTTGCCTCGAACTGTCCCCCTTGAACACAACACTCCTAATAAAATGTCGATCGCTGTACGGTCGGCAGTTATGTTGAAAGCACGGACTCGAGCATATTTATGGCCCAAACATGGGGAAGATATGTAGGGGCCTGTTAACAGGTTTCATAACAGTATTTCCTGTGGTTATATGTTCTTGACAATGTCAATTCCTGACAATGTCTATCCGATGGCAGGTCTGCCGTTAGCGCAGAAATATAGACGGATTGCGCCCGCTAAATCACGTGACCTACAGTGGGTATCAACCCCATAAGCCCCTTCCCCTCTGGAAATATTTCTTGGATCCGTTCCTGACTGCATCGCGGCTCGGTTTGGTTACTGAGTGCTTCTATTTCTCTGTTGTTATTGCCACCATACGTTGTTATTGCTACAATACAATGCAGACAATAGTGCAATTCCAATAGCTGCAACGCGTTGGCCAATCACAACGCACGAAATCTGTCAACCCTTTCCAAATGCGCATTGGGTCGACAGATTTAGGGCGTAGTGATTGGTCAACGCTATGCAAACTTTTGGAATTGCACTATTGTAAATCACCCGTATTGAGGCAGCGGCGTATCCAGCCGGGAAACAAAGAAAACGTCAGAGATAAGAAAGTAATCGGTATATTTATTTATCAAATGTTAGCACCAAAACCCTAAAAGTAATCATAAAAAACATAAAAAAATAAAATAAAAGCAGGGATTCGGGACCACGAGTAAGTGCTTTTGGTAGTTTTCCCTTCCCAAACATCATGTTGAATGAGCCCGAAGCCGCATTTTGTTTTGCATCCCCCACACCAAAAGCTGGATACGCGACTGGCTGCAAGCAGTGCTATTGTTGCAGTAATTCTTGGTGCTCAGGATAGGACTGTTTGTCTCTGAAGTGACTTTGTTGTTGTCAGTGTTTTTTGTCGCGCCAGTCATCTCCCATTGGAATTCAGTGAACATTCTGATTTAATTAAACCGGTTAATGGGCAGAAAACACTCCAAAGAGTGAAAAAAAAGTCGAAGTAAAATATCCTTCTGTTAATGTCTGGAGAGCACAATACTCAGAGCCTTCAACTACTGTTTCTGACGCTTGCAGAAGTTGATTTTTTCTATTTATTATAGATTGGTTAAGTCGCCAGATGGACAGATTGAAGCGATTCACTGATGAGGATTTATCTCTATTTTGCCGTTCGATCGAAACACATTTTCGGAGAAATTTGAGCCATATTTTCAATCTGTGTATCATTGTGGAGACAGCAATTACTCTGAAAATTTGAAAGATGCACCGAGAGTGATCCACGATCTCAGTTATTGCCATACCAGATGGGTTGTTTTGTACAAAACATCACCTGTTCTTCCTGCACTGTACAGAAGCCTCTACCGGAGCCCTCTCGAACACTGAATTCTTCGATTGCTAATGAACCCTGCTGTCGTGTCACGAATTTGCAATGTGCTTCAAAGGTTTTAGTCGAGCAAGAAAAAAACAACAACGCAAACTCGTTATGAAAGTAACCGGAGCGCGCGATGGATACATGAAGCTATCGGTTATTAGAACATTGAGAAGAATAACCAATGCAGTAGAAGATGGGATTTTCGAATTTTCGTCACAGATTTTCTTAGTTTAATAAAGGTTGCCTTGTATTTTTCTGCCCATTGCGCATACTAATTGTTGCAACGCGCATTCTGTGCGTTGGAAATGCCGTCTACGCCACCACGCACTAAAGCCAAGTGGTACCTTTTGTGCACACCTTGGGCAGGGAGTGTACAATTCGTGTCATTTTACGATTCACTAAGCCTCATGACATGCAAGAAATAAAACCTCTGTTAATCAGTGTTGTAGTCAAGACGACTTAAGACCAGCACAAGACCAACACAAGACCTCCAGTCTGAATTTAAGCCACAAGCTATTCAAATGAACTGCAACAAAAGCATTGTTCATCCTGTTACTTGTGTCTGGTCTTGCGTCTGGTCTTGTGATGGTCTCGACTACAACGTTGCTGTTAATTTCCAAAGTAAGAATGATTTTTTAGTTAGTCGAATGCTAATAATTCAACATGTATACGACTCGTTAGTTTGTGTTAAATGTTGCATGTATTTTCTTCTTAATCGTAGATGCCATACTTGCTTAGAGCCAGTGTGTTCCTTCGTGAAAGCCCCAGTCATGAAATCACACTTTAGTTTGGAATTGGGCAAGCATTCCTTTAAGTTAGTTTGTGAAAGCCTCCGTTGTTCACTCACTCACAAAATGTGTCAAACCAAGACTTGTGTGTTTGCTCTCAGTGTCGCGGAGTGTGCGTCCTCGTTCCTCTGGGTCAATAAGTTGTGCACGTTTTTCTTAAACGTGTAAGAAAAGCAGCCGAAACGTACAGCAGCGGGATTTTTTTATTTTTTTGGCTCGAGGACTTTGATGACGGCAACACCCATGCAGAAACAAGTTTCCCTTTCTTTTTAAAAGTTTCCAGACAAGTCGTTGTATTTTGCTGGGTAATACGAGAATGCGATGTGAGTACGGTTCTTGAGACGAAGCAGGAAATTACGGGAAAAGGGAGTGAGAAACACGATACAGGAAGAAAGCGACATCAGAACCGTATCCGTGACCTCGTAGCTCTTCGCCGGCGAGAAAACCAGGTTAACACAAGTATCCTTCAAAACGAGTAGTGTCTTTTTGTATGTGCCCCGTGATTGAACGTGTTTTTCATTGGCAAATATGTACGGATCATTGAGCTGCAAGCACGGTGTTTACGGGACTTCCTGCAGCAGAGATCTAGAATGAATATATACGACTTTTTGTTTCCTCCTTTTTTGAGAAAAAGCACCTATGATAGGGCGGATCCAAATAATTTAAGGGGGCACTTTCTACAACAATTACATTCTATTTCTGAGACCTAAGCGCATACCACTGGTCCCGGTTGTGAAAAGATCTCCAGAACGAGAGAGGACTAGCGAGGACGTCTCGTTGGCCAAGTTGTAAGGCATGGAGGGAACCAACATGACGCGGCAAAATCGCAACATGGGAACGAAGGCTTTATTCAAAACTACAGGGGTTTTTCGTGATCTGAGCAGCGCCCGACTAAACTCAAAACTATGGGCAAATTCACCCCCCCTGTATAGGGAATTTACGCACAGTTGAAGAATTCTAGCCATAAAATTCCAAGAAGCCATTTTTGTATTGCAAAAAATCCCCTCTATTTACTTAATCTGGCCCATGGCGATTCAAAACAATGCGGTTGCAACAGTTGGAAAGAAGAGATAGCAGTACCGAAGAGCAAAAAAGGTGAACGTATTTGGAAGCACATGTAAACAAGTACAGGAAAAATATAAGTGCATTGCGCGTACTGCGCACTGAACGCGCTGTCATGCGCCGTTCCGCCCAT